TTGAGGAACTGCTAAGTGGTTTTTCAAAGTGGCTGCACCATTTTACATTCCCACCAGCAGTGCATCCTCCAGCCATCATAGTGGGTGTGAAGTGGTGTCTCACTGTAGCTTTGACGTGCAGGCCTCTAATGTCTAATTAACGATTCGAGTATCATCTTTGTGCAAATGGCTATTCAAATCCTTTGCCACTTTTTACCCAGGTACTTATTTTTGAGTTATGAGTTCTTTAGATATTCCTGATACAAGTCTCTTATCAGACATATGATCTACATTTATTTTCTCCCATTTTGTGTTTTCACTTTATTAATGTTCTTTCAAACACAAAAGGTTTTGCATTTTGATGGAATGTAGCTTATCGACTTTTTCTTTGGTTGCTTATGCTTTTATCTTCTAGCTAGAAAACCACAGTCTAACCCATGGTCACGAAGATTTACGTTTTCTTCCAAGTTTTTGTTCTTACTTTAAGGTCTTAAGATTCATTTTGAATTAATTTTGCATGTGGTGTGAGGCAGTGGATGTATAACTTTAACATTTTTTTATTTCTCAGGACCAAGAATTGTTCCTAGTGGCTCAAGATGAGGGGTGTGGAAAGTCTGCAATAAGTTACATGCTGCCAAATTAGGCCAGAGTTAGGTGGGACTCTGGTCACACAGTCTTGTGCCCTACATTAAGGGTTCAGGCCTGTTTTAAGGGCAATGTTACACAGGCCCTGAGCTTTTCTATTAAAATGGTACAACAAATATTTCAGCATTATGCACATTCCTGGAATAATTAAATTTATAGTGATTATAAAGCTAGGCACATTAATATAACTCAAAAGCCATACAAGTCCAGGTAGAACATCAGAGAAGTTTCCAGCTGCAGTGTGCAGCAAGAATGGAGACTTGTACCACTATTAATATATGTAAAGTAGATATCAAGAACCTAGTGCATAGCACAGGGACATCTACACAATACTCTGTAATAAGTTACATGGGAAACAATCTAAAAGAGTGGATACATGTACATGTACAACTGTATATGTTCACTTTGCTGTAGTACACATTGTAAATCAACTATATTCCAATAAAACTAATCAAAAAGAACAGAAACTTAAAGAGATTACTGTGCTATTTAGAGACGACATGGCTCATTAGGGTAGTGGCGGTGACATGAAAACTGGAAAAAGGCAAGAGAACATTTAAGGAGTTAGAATGGACAGAACACCCAATGACACAAAGAATTCAAAATCAGGTACAAATAGTCACTGGTTTTATTCAGCAGCTCAAGCCAGTTCTGAGGCATTTAAAGAGGCATTCCAAACAGCTCTGGAGCAAGTACAGCCTCCCACAAAGTCTGTACGAACACACTTTTTTTTTCTTTTTTTCAGTGAGCCGCACAGCTTCTGGGGTCTGAGTTCCTCTACCAAGCATTGAACCTGGGCCCTCAGCAGTGAAAGCACACAGTCCTAACCACTGGACTGCCAGGAGATTCCCAAAGTACGCATTTGTGCACACACCATCTGTTTAAAGTTAGGGTTCCTCAACACGTTCACCTTTCACATACTTCTTTGTGAGTAATAAAACAACATAGGCTTTTCAGGACCACAGCCTATATTTCTGTACAACTAAGCCCAATTGTGTGAGGTTTGCTTGTTTCTTGATTCTGCTCTATAAAAATGGGAGGACTCTGGAGAAGGAAATGGCAACCCACTCCAGTACTCTTGCCTGGAGAATCCCGGGGACAGGGGAGCCTGGTGGGCTGCAGTCCATGGCGTTGCAGAGTCGGACATGACTGAAGTGACTTAGCGGCGGCGGCAGCAGCTGTCTCTGCTGCTTTACAACCCATTCTGAACTTGAATTTAAAAATCGCTCAAATTTGCTTTTTGTCTACCATTTTTATAGTCTAAAATAAATATAAAATAAACAGCATGTAATGTTATTAGCAAAAAAAATAAAGCAAGAATTAAAATGAATGTATAACATAAGCACATTTACTTAAGAAGTAAAGTTCAACAATGTAAAGTTCAGCAAATGTTAAAAAAAGTTCAAAGTTCAACAATCTAAGACTACAATTACTTTTGCACCAACCTAAATTTCAGTGTGACCTGAGTTACTTCACTTCACACAAACAGCACCGGGGTTTGTTTCCATTTGTTTATCTGTGATGACTTTAGAAAAAAATGTCTCTGTGAGATTCTGGGATTAATGTCTGCTTCTAACCAAATTATGTTCTTAACTATCTTGTATCCTGAGTTTCTACAGAAAGTAGCTGCACATTGATTTCTCAATAAAACTATTGACATTAAAAAAAAAAAAAAAGGGAGGACTCAAGGTACCAGGAGGTTTATTCATAGCCAGAAAATAACAAAAAGATTTCTTATTCTCCTGAAATAGGAAATTTTATGTTTTCATAGTCAAAATAATATACAATCTTAAAGGATTTTGTTTTTTAAAAAGCAGTTGAGAATTTTGATGAAATTCATTTATTTCAGTAGAATTAAACTATAAGCAGCATGAAAATGTAAAGTGCTACATAAAAGCCCACAATACATAAAGTTTAAAAGGTTTCATCGGTTTAAACAGTTACAGGCAAAACAGACATGTTTTTTTCAAGCATGCATGCTATTTTAACTACCCTTGTATGTGCTGTGTTGGTCGAAAAAACAGTCATGAGTTACCTAAACCTGAGGATTTGGAAAAGGAGTCCTAAGCTTTTATCTACCAGATCACACGTTTTTTTCCTGGCCTTATGCTATAAATAAGGGATTACAGTGGGGCTTTAAAAATAATGGTTTTCTGAAGAAGCCCTTTATCAGGGTGTTAAGAATGGCTCCAAAGACCAATTTTGTTCATTAACTCCACGATGGGGGTCAGATCGACAACTTAAGGATTTTTAAGTAGCAACGTGAGCTGAAAGGGAAGCAGCAAAAGATATGCCACTTTCAGATATGTGTATCAGGTGCTAAAAAAAAAAGCAAAGGAGAAGCTGGCCTGGCAGTTGATGAGCGAGGGATGAGAGGCCAACTCAGGCAGAGGAGGAACTGTAAGACGTGCCTTCTTCATCAGTTTTAAGTATACATACACCCCATGAACACTCGCAACACTATCACCAGACTGAGGCCGGCTCAGAGGGAGAGCACGGGAGGCTGTCCCTAGCACACGATTCAGCCCAGCCTAGGCTGAGACGGGGGTGTTCTTAGGTGATAGCATGACCTGGTGCTGCCCAGGCGAGTCAGAGACCTCCTGCTAGGAGACCACTGAACTAATACCCCTGATACCTTACATTCCAAACCAAGCTTCAGAATGTATTTTCTCAGGGCAATAAAGTTCTAAGATACTAACCTATAATTTTTCTGACATAGGAGGTCTTCATAAAGTCCTTAGGCTTTTTAGACTTTACCGAATTCAGCTGTAGACAGAACAGTAACAATCTGTAAAGACTTTAAAAATGCTAATTTATTAAAATTTATGAAAACTGTGCATTATATCATAGTACAATATGTTCTTATTTTAGATACAGACATAAACTGGGCTATCAAATGAAAGCAAATGGTGTCTAACAGTTCATAGAACCAAAGCCCAATGAGAGCAGGAGCAAAAACTAAATTGGCCTTTAAATCATTTTATAAATTGCTTCTATATTGCCCATAATAAACCACATAAGGACTTTATAAACACCACTCTCCAAAGTACTCAAGATACATTATGGACGAACTTTTGTCGTCCTGCCTAGAACCTAAACACAATTTACAACACTGAGTTGTAAAAATAATAATAATAATAACTTACAAATGCACTTTTAGAGCATAACCTATTTGAAAGTTGGGGACTGCCTGTATTTAAAAATTAAATCTTCATTAGCAATACTCTCGCAAGTGCCCTCAATGCTGCTACTGAACATGCTGAAGGCAATGTTTTCCTGTGACTATATGTTCTCACCAGGCATTATTCATGATGATAGTTTAAATTATCTACTAGAGTCTGTGGAGCTAGCTAGCACTAAGTTATATATTGATTTTTGCACTGAAAATAATCTCTTGGGCTTTGATTAGGTAGGCAATTCTAAGTAGAGGTTTTTCTAATTTCTATCACTGTTACATGGGCCCTGAGCTTTTTTATTAAAATGGTACATGAAATAGTTCAATATTATGCATATTACTAAAATAATTAAATTTATAGTGATTATAAAGCTAGGAATATAACACAACTCAAAAGACATACAAGTCCACGTAGAGCAAACACTCGAATCTTAAGACCCTCCCATTTAACTTTGGGAAGAAAATCAAGCAATTTCCTGGCTTGGACCCTTCCTTCCTTATTTCAAAGATCTAAGGAGGATTGGTTTCCTTTTTTAAAAAAATCTTGTGTGTGAACTGGAGAGAAGGGGATAACAGCATATCAAAGTGGTTACAGAGCATTATTTCCCCTTCAAATAACATCCAGTAATAAAGATGTAATCTCATTTCCTCAGAAATGTCTGACCAAAATAGTTAATTTCACCAAAGAATGTTTAGGACATAGAGTCAGTCATAGAATGGGCAATCCCAGTATCTCTCACATGAATGCGTTTTAAGCAAGCTATTTGAGGAGTTTTATTTTCCCTTTTCAACTCTTATCTCCATGTCATTCTACATAAGTAGAAACAGAGTACTCAACGGTATTGAGTAACTAGTAATACTCACTGGAACTTAAAATACCATCTTTTATCCAAAAATTCCAAAGGGCTATACAGAAAAGAATCACAAATTTACATAAAGAAAAGCTGAGGCATGAAAAACAGCAAATAAGTTATTTCCCGGTAGAGCAGGTTGGATAGAGAGACGAGGGACTTTGACTTCCAGTCCCTTCAACTAAGCAGGACACGGAATGTCTAGACATATTTATACTGAATTTATAAGGATCAAGAAAGGAATGAAGAGTAAATATAAAATGATTATTTTGTAAACAATTCTTAGATTATACCCAATGCAGAATGTTTAATGAAGCCGCTGAGTCACAGCTCTAAGACACAAAACCATGTTATAGCTCAAAGTCAAACATGTACTCATTGGCCAGATATATTCGCCGGAATACGAGAGCTGCCAGTGCCAAAGTCAAGATGACGACCAAGAGAGCAGACCCGCCGCGGTCGGTGTGGCCGCCTCTCGCCCGCTGGCCCTGCGCGGCGTCTGGGGGCGCAGGCGGCCGGCTCTGGCTCTGCTGATGGGCCCGGCGCTGTCGAGGGCTCACGGAGGTGCGCTTAGCTACCGGCTGGGCAGGCTGTTGAAGGGGTGCTGCCGAGGGGTTCTCGGTTCCATACTACGGAATTTTAAGAAAGTCAGTTTGAAACTGGCAAAGCAAGCTTGTACAATACACACAGGCTATTCAAGAGTACACGATATCGCAGAGCAGTAAGGCAGCACGACCAAGAAATCTCTGAAGGCTGAGATGAGTGACTCACCCTCCTCAATAAGCCAGCAACGCAACTCATCCTGAGTGCTTGCAGGTGGAGGAGGAATTTACCCGCGACAAGTAAGACAAGGACAGAGTTCCTCCACATTCTCCACAGACGGCTCTGTACTCTCCTCTGGCTGCAATTCCAGCAGCGTCTGCCAGGCATCTGAGTACCGCCCTTCTTTCAGAAGTCAAGGAGAGAAGCAATTTGATTCCCACTTTCTACATAAAGATTTACCATATTCTAAACGGCAAAAAAGGACAACTCTCAACAGTGTTCTTCCTCCAATGTTATCTTACTACATCAATCATCATAGAACATAGGAAATAATTGCAAACCATATGTTCCACATAGTAATACTGTTATAAAAATTAGATGTGGTTTTCAAAACAGGTTTATGCTTTCTCACAATCCCCATCAGCTGAATTGAACACAAGTCCAGAACTCTTTACTGTGTGTTTGAACTGTGTCACTTTATGAGTGTAAAGCATGAACTATTGTCAAGAGTACCCTGGGTATGTGCTGAGAAAGATGTGGAGGTAGGGATGGGAGACTGAGGAGGCACCCTCTACAAAGCCCTGGACGTCAACTGCTTTCTATCCTTTCAGTGAATGCTTGGTCCAAGCAAAAACACCACATGGCAACAAGTGACTCAAAGTCATAAATGTGGCTTATAGACAAGGATGGAGAAGGAAATGGCAACCCACTCCAGTACCCTTGCCTGGAAAATTCCATGGATGGGGGAGCCTGGTAGGCTACATACAGTCCATGGGGTCGCAAAGAGTCAGACAGTACTGAGCAACTTCACTTTCTTTCTTTCTATAGTTCCTTTTGGAGAAGGCAATGGCAACCCGCTCCAGTGTTCTCGCCTGGAGAACCCCATGGACGGGGGTCCTGGTGGGCCACAGTCTACGGGGCTGCAGAGTCAGACACGGCTAAGCAGCTCACACACACACAGACAAGAAATCTCTACAGAATGTGAATCCCATCTTGCTTATACAGACACCTTAACTCCACCCTAGTGACCGAAGCCTTTGTTGTATTGAAAACCTTATACTGATTATAGTAGAGCCAGCACACATTCTTTCAAATGAGTAAGAGTGCAGGTTTTATTCAGAATCACTTTTTAAATTGAGTAAATACGAAAGATTTTAAATACTTTTCATTATAGAAAATTTCAGTATTTAGAAGAAATAAAGAATCTAAAAATATAATTCAAATACTTTTTTAAAAAACAGGTAAGAGAATGAGCTTTGTCCTGACAACAGCTATAAACAATAGGGAATAAACTGCTGATCTTAGTTATCTACAGAAGACATTACACTTTAATTCTGACATCACCCCAACATTAAAAGATGTAAATAATCTGAGTTTCTTAAAACTACCCTTTGGAAGCACTCACACGTAGTGGCCCGTAACACAGAGGCAGAACTGGGACTTCCCTACTCCAGGGCTCAGGAGAAAGGTGCTCAGTGAAGGGCAGGCCCGCGAAGCCCGCGCTTTATGGGCCCTACACTGTCACGCTGCGCCACGCAGAGGTTTAGCACGGACGGAGGGGAACCACGCTACCGTGACCAAGGCCGAGCCCCGTGCACCTGAAACCCCCGTTCTTCCCGCCGCTCAGCCCAGAGGACAGAAGGGTCTGACATAGCAAAAGCACTCAAGGCTTACAGGGAGATGGGTTCTTAAGAAAAATAAAAAGGGAGGTGGCAGAATCAACCCAGAAACCAGCATAAGAGACTGACTCATCGTAAAGCTTTTATTCACAGGTGCTGCTTTTTTCCAGTAGTCTGAGTGGCGAGCACAAGCCTGGCCAGGACTAACAGGCAGTCTCAGCACCGCTGGGCGGGCTTCACCGCTTCACGGACGCGTGGCCCGAAGCGAGCTATCTAACCGAGGACTCAGCTCCCTCTCCTACAAGGGTAATATCCAGTTCAGTAGTTGTGAAGATTAAACAGGATAATCATATAAAGTGCAAAGGGTACACAACTGCTTGTTAAATCTTAGGCATTACTAATATTACTATCGGTACATCCCTTTGAAGACTCCCGATTCAGGTTAACAAAAGAAAAGTCATGACTTTATTTAGGACTAATTCTCACAATTTTATTAGTATGATTAATGTAATCCCTCAAACAATGACTTTAGATGACATTTTAGTATGTGTACTTCATGGGAATATTTATGTAGATACACTGCTTTAAATAGGTTCCTAAATTTCAGATTCCTTTTGGATGATACATTACTAACTAAAACTTAGTGCTGTGATACTATGAAATTATCCCTATTTTAAACAATCACATCACGGCAAGACTGTATGACTTCAACGCTGCAGACCCAGAGGACTCTAGATTGGAGCTGACGGGCTAACTGGACACACTTTTGGTGGTTCTCACTGAATCGCAGATGCAGAAACAAGTTGGGCTTGGCCATTTCAAAACACCATAGGTTTGGGGGCACAACATTTAAGTCTTTGCTGTTTACCTAAACTTGTTCAAACACGTATCGTATCACAGGATGTACACTTAAGTGAGAATTGTTCCTGTTTCCTTCATTAAGATGAAGTGATCATTTCTGGAAACATAAAAATATGTGACATTTGTATCCAATTAAATTACATTTAAATATATATGTCACAGTCACAGATAAATCCCTTGTAATACGTATAAAATTTTCTATAGTTTAGCATCTATAAGGGAGTTTTGTGTCTGCTTCTTAATACAAAATGGAATGGCTTATTCAGAACCTCAATCTCAGGAAGAAGAAAAAAAACTGATAGACTGGAAGAACATAAGTCGACCATCAGTATTGTTCCCATTTCTACAGAGCTAAAAAATCTGCATCAAAAAGCAACAGATGGCCTGATGTTATCTGCTGTATTTAGACTGTGGGCAATCTCTCGCCCCCTCAAGGATAAAAAAATGTAGCTTATCTGGGATTTGACGTATAACAACTCAGTGAATTTATATTACACTGGCATGTAAAGCAGCTACCTTCAGCCAAAAACAGGTTTCAGTTACCTCCCTAGTGATCAAATTATATAATCACACTCCGAGATAATCTGTACGTAAACATAATTAAGAGCTAAACTTGTAACTATATGCAATTTATTGTTTGAACCAGAATTGGTATCAATTAATTACCTATACCTATGAAGAAGAGTTCTGTGTTAGGTACTTTAAAATCAAAATGGGTGGTGATCACTTTGTAATGCATAGAAATACCAAATCACTATGTTGTGCACAGAACTAACATAGTACTGTAGGTAGATTAAACTTCAAAAACAAACTCAGAGAAAAAGAGAGCAGATTTATGGTTACCAGAGGGGTAGGACAAACAGATGAAGGTAGTCAAAAGGTACAGACTTCCAGTTATATGATAAATAAGTCCTAAGGATGCAATGTACAGTATGCTTAATGCAATTAACATTGCTGTTACATATGAAAGTTGTTGAGAGTAAATCCTAAGAGTTTTCATCACAACAGAAACAATTTTTTTATCTTTTTCCATTCATTTTGTATCTATGAGCTACTAGATATTTGCTAAATTTATTGTGGTAATCATTTCATGGCGTATGTAGGTCAGATCATCACGCTGTGCGCCTTTAAATTTATAGAGTGGTGTATGTCAATTATACTGCTAAAACTGGAAGAAAAAATAAGGAAGAAATCAAAATCTAATTTACTAAACATTGTGATTCCTTTACCTGTATTCCTAGTGTATTTTTAAAGTGCCAATCCTCAGATTCATTTATTCAACCAACAAACACAACCTACTACATACAAGGCATTGTGCCAGGCACTAGGGGTGCAGTGCAGTAGACAGGCCTGATCCTCAAGGGACGCACATTCCGGGAAGTGAAACAGACAGTAAGTAACTGGAAAACAAATTTCAACTGGAATAAGGATAGCTGGAATACGCAACAGGGGACTTGACACAGCTTTAAAATAGACCAAAGACAGATTTAAATACACCACAAAGTATTAGCAGACTGTCTTTATAGGTGACCACCCTCCTTCTCTCTGCAATAGGATGGTTCTATTTTTTAAAAAAAAACTATGACATAGAAAACAATTAGAATTCTAAAGGTGAAAAGTAATCTGAATTATTTTTTTAAATATTTCAAGCTAAAACATATACTGACTAAAATTAATTCACTATATCCCTCTATAACATATATATTACATGGGCAACACATAAAAACAGTTAATCTCTTAGCACATGCTTTTTTCTTATACCTCCCTCTCCAGTCCCCTCCAAGAATTTACTTTACAGCACCCTCTCTTCTGCTTTCTCCACCCCACTTTTTTCTACCCATCTCAGTCTCTTGAATGGGACAGGACCACTCAATCCCACTTTATATTTGCCTGGGCAAATCGGTATTTGCCCAGCTTTTATTTTAATTTTCCTGACCCTTTAACATCCTCTCTAAACTGGGAAAGCGGGGAAAGATGTGGCTACTCAACCAAACAACCTGTTACCAAAATGACAGTTCATCTCATATATAGAAAGTAAAGTCAATGTTTTTTCCCTATAATCCTAATTATTTAGCAATAACCCAGTCACATTTTCTTAATCGGTCTCTCCAATAACCAAGACCCACTAATGTTTAGAAAATAGGTCTGCTGCTGCTATTGCTAAGTCGCTTCAGTCGTGTCCGGCTCTGTGAGACCCCATAGACGGCAGCCCACCAGGCTCCGCCGTCCCTGAGATTCCCCAGGCAAGAACACTGGAGTGGGTTGCCATTTCCTTCTCCAATGCATGAAAGTGAAAACTCAAGTGAAGACGCTCAGTCGTGTCCGGCTCTTTGCGACCCCATGGACTGCAGCCTACCAGGCTCCTCCGTCCATGGGATTTTCCAGGCAAGAGTACTGGAGTGGGGCGCCATTGCCTTCTCCGAGACAATAGGTCAGGGCACAACTAATAAGACCCACAGCGCCCATGGAATCTTTCCTTCAGTGATTATTTACTAGACACTTACTATGCGCAAGGCGGCACTTGCCCAGCAGAACATTTTTTGAGATGACAATAATGTTCTGTATCTACGCTGTCCAAAATGGCAGCCACTGGCCACTTGGTGCTTTTGAATGCTTGAATTGCGGCCAGTGTGACTAAGGAACTGAAGTTTTAATTTAGCTTAATTCTGAATAAGAGCAAGTAGTTTATTTGGGAAGTGATCCCAAGAAAGCATGCGCATGCATGCTTAGTCTCTCAGTTGTGTCTGGCTCTTTGCAACTCTTTGGACTCTAGCCCGCCAGGCTCCTCCGTCCATGGGATTCTTCAGGCAAGAATGCTGGAGTGGGTGCCATTTCCTCCTCCAGGGGATCTTCCCGACCCAGGGGTCAGACCAGAGCCTCTTGTGTCTCCTGCACTGCAAGCAGACTCTACCCTCTGAGTTTTAATAAGGTAAATATAAACTCAGGGAGCCACATGCGGCTAGTGGCTATTGCACTGGACAGAGACCATCTAAGGCAAATCTCTGACTCCAGGCCTTTGAGTCAGGGCCTTAACGCAGCTTAAGAAACCTGCCAAAGACAGAGCACCTATTGAGAAAGTGGCTAATGAACGTATATTTCATTTTATTCAGAGTCTAGCACTATACTGAAACTAACTTTTCAGAAAAGTCATATCAATAGAAAGAAGGTCCTATTTAGGTCCTACTGTCCTTTCTATAGAAAAGGAAGGAGAATAGGACCTAAAACTGTTTTAGTCCAGCTCCATTTAACAAAAAAGAAAGACTCAGTAAATATGAATAACTTGTTTTAAAAGATACTAAAATTCATTAGAGGGAGAGCTTGTCTCGAATCTGTTAGGAGGATCAAACTATTCAGATATTTCATCTAGAGATCTCCTCTTCCTACTGCAAATAATTACGATGGTACAGATACAGATGTAAAAGATAAGAGCCGTACCGATGTACTTGCAGTGGCACCCTGGAACGCTGCAGGTCCATCATCCTGTAAACCACTTAGTGAGAAAGAGTGGTTTAAGTCCGACTCAGCAACAGGCTTTCCAGATGAATTAACTTCTGCCTATAAAACAAAAAAGACACACCCAAGAGCAGTGTCACAAGAGGAGGTGCACAGGATAACCCGCAACCTACTGCATTCTCTCGGGTTTATTTTTAACTGTCCATTTTAGTTTAGTTTAATTACTACTTTAATATCAACTATCAATCAGGTAAGCTCGGAACACTCATGCTGCCCAACACTGTGCTGCTCATTTAGGGGGGGAGTAGACGACACTTATTCTCCAGGAGCTGCTCCTTGGTGAGGACAAAACCAGGACTCGTGGCTCACGGCCCACTCCAACAAGCTCTAAAAACTATCAAGTTTTTTGTAATTTTTAGGCATAATCTGACATGTGAGGTTAATAACAGTGTATGTATTTTCACATTAGTGTAAATATTCCCAGGTTTGCTGATGATATTAATAGATTTGATGATTAGGAGCTGCCGCAGATCCCACTGTGCATATTAGTGCAAGTTTAATATTTTCTAAAATCTGAAATTCTGATGTACAAGAGACATTTGGCCCTAAGATTTTCAGAGAAATAATGTTAAGTACAACAGGAATCCTCAGAAGGAAGAAAATAACCAACATTAATTAAGCACCCCCTCTTTCGGGCACCACAATAAAACAAGGAAAAGTCTCTCCCAAGACCTGGACATGGAAGGATATACAGGATGTAGAAAGGTGAGACAAGGGAGGAGGCAGCTTGCTGCTTAATGCAGGCTGACTTTTCTGATGGAGCTAATTAAATTCCAGAAGTAATTAAATGTTTGCGCAAAACAGACACAGAACAAAAGGATATGAGAGATACGTCAGAATATTAATAGCAGCCGTTGCGTGGGGATGGGATTATGCATTCTTGTTATTTTTCCCTTATTGCTTATCTGTAGTTTCTATAATAACAGTTAAAATTTATTATGCACCAGACAGCTCTAAAGTGAGAATTAACTCAATCCTTATAATACCATACAAGTGCCATTATTTATTTACAGATGAGAAAAAGGTACAATATGAGCAATATGGCCCATGTCCTTCTACTAATAAGAAGCAAAGCTGAGATCTGACTCCTGGCAGAGTATACCAGAGTCCAAGCTTTTAACTATTACTATGCTATAATGCTGCTTCTAAAAATATATTAGTTTTGTAATAAGGAAAATAATTTGTAAAGATCTCAGTACAATGGAACTATACAGATTTACTTTCTATCCAAAATTTGGCTAGGCAACAAAAGGGTTTCATAGTTAGAATTTATTTACAAATTTAGAGTACCTTAAAACTGATTTGTCTAGCCAGTTCCTTGGCTTCTTGGTCAGCCTGGCTTGAATCGCTTCCAGATTTTAAAGGCAACAGGACATCCTTCATGGCAAAGCCACATCCCTCACAACAGAAATCTTGTGATCTGGTAGGAAGCAATTTTTTGATGGATATAAATCAGATACTCAAAGGTTGATCTATCTAAGATACTCAAATACTGAGTGATTAAATTTAAAAGAACAATGGACAACTCCATATCACATTCCTACATGTAAATTAGACAATTTTGGCAATAATTATAGTTCTAAGACAAACAAGTGAAAATTGGTTTTTTAAGAAAATCCATGTCAATTATACCTCAATTTTAACTATCTGAAATTTAAAAAAAATCAGGGTTTAGATTTCATTTTTTCCCAATATAATACCTCTTTAAAAGAAAAGTTTTAGATCTATAAGACAGCATACAAATTGCTTAACTACACTGTCCTTAAGTTCACACACAACAAGCCTGTATTAAGTCTGCGTAAAAAGTCCATTATAAAGCTCCAACTGGGAATTCTCTGGCAATCCAGTGGTTAAGACAGTGCTTTCACCGCCATAGGCGTGGGTTTGATCCCTGGTCGGGGAACTAAGATCCCATATTCTTTTGGTGTGGCCAATAAAAAATTTTAAAAAATGAATACTATTTACAGTTATTTCCAGGGGAAAAACTCAACAACTCTACTCATCTAAATAGCAGTACAATTTGAAAGATAAAAGACAATTCATGGACAATCCAGACAATGAAATTTATCATTCATTATAATAAATAGAGGCTCAAAATAAGCCTGTTAACTAGACTATTTCCTAATATTAATTTGATTTTCTATGCTTTCATTTTATTTTTTGTATGACTAGAAGTAAATCAGTATAATACACTGTTACATTACTAAACTTTTACAAAAACTATTTTTTCATATTTCTAGTTCAACATAATAAAGCTCTTAGATCTGGAAGAACATACTATTACATTATAAAAAACATACTATTTATAATTTCATGTAAACAAAACACATGTAAAAGTTGTACTAATTTAGTACTTACTGATGAATATTTTTTGTTTCACCAGAAGTAGCATTGCTGTCCATATCCTTTTGAGAATCAGTTGTATCCAAATTATTTATCTTAAAGTGTGTTCACTTTTTTTTCCCTCTATTTCTGGTCCTGCTGAGCAGCATGTGGGATCTTAGTTCCCTGACCAGGGAAAGAACCCTCGCCCCTGCAGTGGAAGTGTGGCATCTTAACCATGAGACTGCCAGCAACGTCCCAAAATGTGTTCATTTTTTAACTGAGAAGTCAGATGAAGTTTAAAGGAGAGTTTATTTTTAACACATCAGTTTATCCATAAGGACAGTATGCTACCATGGTTGAATGCAAAATCATGTTTTAGAAAGCCTATATTACAGACTTAAGAACCTAGACTATAGTGAGAAGTCTAAACAAAAAAAGCCTTATTATTTTTTTTAACCTTGTACATGAAATGAACTGGATACAAGAATCAATTTAGAAAGTCAACAAAGGAGATCAAAACAAATGCTATGTATTCAAAGTACATACTATAGTCTGTGAATAGTAGCTACAGGGTATATTCTGAACTTGGGAATAATCTTTAAAAGACAAGTTGCTGATAAAACAGGGAGCCTATCAAACCTTCCTGAGGGATGGAACCCAGGGATCAAACCCGTGTCTTCTCACTGCTGGCGGATTCTTGACTGCTGAGCCGCCAGCGAAGCCAAGCTAGGGTAAGACATACTGTCATTTAATTAAACATGATAGATCTGAAGGGTGGTAGGCAGCAAAGTTCAGAACCTTACAATGGTCAGACTCAAGAACTGGTCTCCACACTACTCAAAGGAGAGGCTCCTCTGCACCTAATTACTCCTCTGGGTTATACAGACAGAATGCACCTGAGAAAACCCAGACGGCAAAACTGCTGGGGAACTCCCATTCGATAAAGAAAATCTCCTTTGCTTTATTCCAGATCACTTGTTGAGCACTTGCTATGAGGCAGATGCTACAGATACAAAGATGATAAAGTGGGTTTCCTCCCTGCCTTCAAAAAAGTTTTTAGAAGCTTCATGGAAAGCAACATACATATCATCACTACGGCTCTCTTCTACCTGTTTAACACTGCCCAAGTGGAGATAAGGGACCAGTACTGTCTCCTAGAAGATACTGTGCACTGTAGGCTGGTATCACCAACTACTTTTTAGAGCTAGATAGCATGAAATGAATTCTTCAGAGTCTGATCATCCTGGGGAAATTAATACAGCTACATTGCTAAGCCAGGAAAACTGAGACTAGGTCCCGTGGCACCAGGGCGAGCACACAAAGGGCGGAGCCTGTCTGCGGGCGGCGGCGGCCTCAACGGCAGTCCCGGCGGGGCAGGGGGCAGCACTTACTTTTTGGCGAGAGCTCGTCTCTCCTCGGGCGTGTAATCCAGAGAGCCTATGGCTCCCTCGCCTTTCGTTGGCATAAACCCAATGATGGCTAATAATGCTGTCCTTACTGAAATAAAAAGTAAGCATCGATCTGAGTTGCTTTGCAAAAGGAACTGGGTCTACTCTGAAAAGGAAAAAAAGACTCAGGGTTTCACTAAAGAGGTATAAGTAGGGGACTGTATTAAAATGATGCAAAAATCCCAACAGGGAAAAGCATTATTACTATTTATTCAATAATAAAAAATTATTTATCCCAAACAGCTTCAATCTCCAGAGAGTATTATATCTTATTATTATGAATTGACTCAAGTTCTCTAAGACTTGTGTTCACTGTAAATACTCACTGCTCCATGAAGGCTGCCAAGTTTCAGGATGATGTCCTGAGATGCTCAAACAGATTTTCTTGCCTACTTCAAATCGTCCGTTAGCCTTAGGAATAAATAAGGCATTTAAAAAATTATGTATGTGTGTGTTTAATGTTTTAAACTTCATAAGCATGAATATATTTTACATATAAATAATTTTTAAAAGATAATTTTTAGAGCATTTTTAAAGGATGGGATCTATAACGGGATACAGATTTTTGTCTTCTTATAGATACCCCACAAATATTTGTTAGATTCTGAGTGAATAATAAAAGCTGTTTTTAGAAGCTGTCATAGCACATTCTGAAAGTGAGCTGCACAACTGACATCTCCGTAACTGACATACAGTGACATCCTGATAGCCTCCTCTGCGCCTAGTGTGGTGCTAGGTTTTGGGAAGGAGCTAAAAGAGAAGACATGCCAAGGCTAGGGTAAAAACCAAGGACTCGGTGTCACCTAACGAGATCCTGGGGAGGAAGGCTCTGAGGTGGGAGTGCCTCCCAGAAGGCTAATGCAATTCCATACAGGAGCACAGAAGTGAAAGATGAGAATGACTTCAGTGTTGTCTTGGTGGAAGAGCTACTGATGATGTCCAGCACTCAGGCAGAAATACAGAGGTGCTAATGACAGAAGATAACACATTTCTGGTACTTGACTTTCACAGAGGTGATCGATGAAACCATTTCACAGAAATAAGAGAAAACAGTTGTAGTCTGAACTTGCAGAATATGCATGCTTGGGAGAAGGAGCGGAAGAAGAGGCATGAAGTTAGAATACAAGTTCCAAGTAGGCAGAGTTTCGACTTACTCTCTGCTACACACACAGGGTACATGACACGAATTTAATAAATATTTGCCGAATGAAAGCTGGAGAAGACTTTTCAAAAGAGAGGAAGTGAATCAGAAAGAGCAAATACTGAACATCAGCATACATGATGATAGCATCGATGAATAGCTGTGGCGTCAAATACCCTCCACCAGTTTCCCCACGTACCAGCTCTTCCTTGAGACCAGTTGGCGCTCCCCACCATCTGGCAACTAAAAGGAGAGACTCCTAACACAGTAGGGCCCGGCCAGGCTCTCCTACTCCAGACCTACTGCCAGCGTGACTAATTCTCAATATCACCTAATACTTATTAAGCAGCTTCTATATATAGGAACCTGACAGTATGATTATCTTCTTCATACACCTCCCTTTGGACAACTGAGAAAAATGAATTTCAGAGATTACGTAACCTGCCTGTGACATGACTGGCTAGAATTCAGGTCTGTTGGCTCTAAAACGAATGCTCTTTCCACTATAAACACACACCATAGGGAAAAACATTAATTTGGTAATGATGACAATTTTTTCTTTCACCATTTGCTGCTCCATGTGTATCAGAAGTTTAACTTAGATGGAAAAGGATGAAGACTGAGAAGAGATGGTGTGATTTCTCAAGCTGCTCTCTTGAGACTGGTGTAGGAAGCAGGTTTCAATAGGGCGCTATGCGTGGGAAGCAGAACTCAAGAGATGACACTACAGAGTCAGGATGTTTTGACGGTTACAAGGAAACAAGGCTACAGCTTAAAGGTGTAGCAGAGACATGGGAAGGTTTTTGTTTCATTTTTGCTTCTTTCAAGTTAGAGGATAATCAAATACACATAAACGAAAGGAAATGAAGGAAGGAAAGCTTTAACAATTAAGAGAGGAATTTACTGGTAGAACAAGGTCCCAGGAAAGATAAGATAAAGCTGGATGTATAGCTTTCCTCTACATGGAGATAAAACATGTGAAGATGGAGAGAAATTCTAGGATATAAACGGTAATAACATAGCCAACATTTACTGAGGACTCTGTCAATTCTTATTCTAAGAACTGCATGTGAAAATGAGGAAACTGTAAAAAAAAGAAAGATGAAAATGAAGGACAAAGCATCAGGTGGAAAGCTGAAGGAGATAACGGGATTAAGAAGTACAACGGCAGTAACTACCCTTGCCTGAGTACCATCACGCGCCAGACTCTGCACAGAACTTCGTGTACACCAAGTCACTGAACCCAACAGCCACACCACGGCAGCGAGCATCACGGGCCCTTCTCAGGTGCTTCAACTTCCTAGGGGTTTTTCTCCAGAAAAAATACAGTCCAAGGTCTGGTCTGCCAGAGTTATAATAATCATGACCCGCTTTGTTTATCAGTGAAAAGTGCACGCATACTACACTTTACAGCCACCAGGAAGAGTTATTCCAGAAGCATTCCGGAAAGCCGAGGCTTCTTACCGTTAGGAGAATGATGCTGGGTGGTTTCATGGGGTACTCCGGTGGCAGCACTATTCGCCCATGATAAACTCCTCCATCAAAATCAGAGTCTGGGGGCCCTCTAACTGTGAAGTGCCATTCAAAAAGATTATCCTGAACCAAGACGAGAAGCAGAGAGTGATCAATGACATTAAAAAGTTGCATTGTTTTTACCGTGAGTATTAGAAACATTGCTGGGTGAGAAAAATTAACATTTTATATTATTCCTAGGACAGTTTCTAATGCACAATGTCTCAAGTATAAAAGTTATAAGTAAAAGCTATTTAATCTAGCTTTCATGTCACATAAGGGCTAAAATATTTTTTTAATACATTTTAAAACACATGAGCACCATTTTCGTTGCTGTTGTTTAGCCGCTAAGTCGTGTCCGAGTCTTTTGCAACCCCAGGGACTGTAGCCCACCAGGCTCCTCTGTCCATGGGATTCTCCAGGCAAGAATACTGGGGTGGGGTGCCATTTCCTTCTCCAGGGGGTCTCCCTGACCCAGGGATCAAACCCACGTCTCCTGCATTGGCAGGCAGATTGCTTGCCACTGAGCCACAGGGAAGCCCCTGAGATCATTACATGTTCATAAATAAGATTATAGATTTACATATTTCCTATTCCATTAGCTCCATTTATTTTTTCTGAAAAATCTCTTCTGGACCCTGAAGTTTTAATATGGACTAACTGCTTGACACATTCCAAAATTCTTCACTTGAATGTCTCCTGGGTTTACTGGAATCTCAATCTTCCTTTGTATGTTTCATTCAGTTTTTGCATTATTTTGGTGTGGTTTATTGTCAACTACATTTCTCTGAAAGGAATATAAGGAAGAAAATCTGTACTCTTGTATGTCTAAAAATATATTTATTTTGAGTTCATGCTTGATTGTTCTCTGGATGTGGATTTAGTTAATTAATTAAATTATTTTTATTAAAAGTTATTTATTTTTATTAAATTATTATTTGATCTAAAAATATTATAGACTTAAACTGATAAATAACCCCTAAAGCCCAATTAGTGAAAATTATTATTTATATAATCAAATAATCTACTATAAATTTGGATTATTTTAGCACTTTCCAAATTTATCCGTCATAGATGCCAAAAAGCTTATTAGTAAGTGGTCAGTAATATTAACATCATATGTTAATATCATCGGATACCAAGTACTTCATAGTTCGAAAAATACTTGCACGAACATTATTACATTTTAGTCTCACTATTACCATGAAAACGAGACGGGGCACATTTAAATACCCTCCTTTCACAGACCGGAAGACTGAGGTAGAGGTGGAGATGTTTGTACAAAAAGCCCAAACAAGCTGCAGAGATCCCTCAAGGGGCTGAGTCTCCCAAATATAGAGTCTGGAGTTCTTTCCACTTTTCCTCCCTCATACCTAAACTAATTTAGTATCTGAAGCCCCCTCCTTTTTTTTTTTTGGCCGAGCTATGGCATGGTGGATCTTAGTTCCCCAATCAGGGATTGCACTCCTGCCGTGGAAGATTGGAGTCTTAACCAATGGACCACCAGGAAAGTCCCTGAGACCCATTTTATAGAGACCAGAAATCTGCTTCTTCTAAAACATCTGATTCTGAATGGCTAACAGAAATACTCAGTGTATACCTCAAACTACCACAACACTGTAAATAACTGTACTTTATTTTTTTTAATGGTTTAAAAAAATACTCAGAAAATATAGGGAATAAAATATATCAATAAAGCATACCAAACACATTTATAATGATTCAATGCAGTGAAAAAATAAGAAACTCAGAAGACAGAGACAGAAACTGACCTCTAAAGGCTGTGCGTGGTAATGATCTGTTGGGTCTTTCAACTCTGCTGCTTCTTTCATTAAGCGTTTAACAGCTAAAACAAAATTCACAAGATAGAGATGTTTCAAATATACTTTTTCCATGTGATTAGCAGATTTACAGACCTAATGAATAAGTTCCTACTTCAACAAAAAACATGCAGAGGACTTACTGACTACAGCATATGATTTAATTATGCGAGAATAGTAATAACGGAGGAAGAAAAGGCAGCTAGGCACTAGAAGAGTGACATATTAAATTAAATACATAGGGAAGTCTCAGAGACACTATTTTTCTCTAGTAAGTACTTATATACACTCCCTATTAGGTGGCACTCAAATATTAACTCAAGTAATCCTCAAAACAACTGAGATAGGTGCTGTTTTTAATCCCCATTTTCCAGATGAAGAAACTGAGATATGGGGAGATTATACATGTCCAAGGTTACACAGCTGGTAAATGACAGAACTAGGATTTCAACACAGGCAGTCCAACTGTACCTTGTTAAAATATCTACAGTAATAAGAAACATGGCCTCTGGCACTTATGCTCATGAACAGTAAACCCCCTAATATCCTCAACCTCAGGACTTTCCACTCAATATTTTCTTTGACTTAATGGCACTGTCCCGACATCACTGCATCTCCACAGCCCTAACTGAATTCCTGTTTGAAATGATTATTTGCTAAATTAAAACCTCCAGTCCCCTGACCCCACAACTTTCTTAACGCCACCTGTACCTATACTCACTTCCATCTATCCATGCTCTCGGCTCTTAGATGTTCCCCTTTCATAGTCCCCTAAATTCAATTCTAACTGAGCCAACCCAACCATCTTCTAATTTGGAGTCTATACCCAAACAACTAAGCATTACTGAATGGGGCTTAAAAAGTCACGGACACAGGCCCATTGACGCTATTATAGAGGTATTATTAACAACCTCTGCTGGGACAGGGAGTGCCGCACATAATGCCACACAATGTCCTATATCTCTCCAGTAAACCCCACCCAACACCTTCCAAGTAGTACCCCAAGACTATTTCATACCTATTCGCTCTCTTCTCTTCCACCTCTTTCAGTTAATGGCAGACTTCATCCCCACGATAGATGACTGTGAGCAGCCAGGACAGTTTAGAGTCTCATGTGTATCTGTACCCTCTTTCCTCGCCTGTTGGTTCACAAAGGTCAATCCTTTGATCCCACCCCCTCACCCTCAAGCTTTAGGTGCTTAAAAAAACATCAGGATACTGGTGTAGGATACAGAATAGCAAAGCCAGAGAAACACCGGATAGCTCAAGGCTCTCTGAGACTCTGCTTGAGAACAAACTAACATAGCTTAACACGCGCCATGAGAGAGGTGCGCCCCAGGTGGGCACCTAACCTGCGAGCAGACGGAAGAGAAGAGGGGTCAGGTGCTGAGATCTGAAAGAAAGACAGTAGGAGTTACCCAGCTGGGTATGAGGAAGCAAAGGAGACAAGAGAAGTAACTGCGGGGGGCAGGCTGGCATGCTGTGGGGAGAGGCCCCCCGAGAAAGAGCGCACGCGTAAACTACCAGACAGTTCCTCGTGTGTCAGGACTTTGCATAAAATTTCACTTTACTCAAGGGTTCCTACGTTGGAAAAAAAATTCTCAAGTCACTATCCTGTTCCATAACTACTAATATTCTTTTCCATCTCCTACTCTGAACTAAGCCTACAGGCAGAGAATTTGTTCGCCTGATCAGTAAATATCCACCGAGCTCACACTCGATGCTAGGTATCCTAAGCTGCTTCAGTGGTGTCTGACTCTGCGGAGCAGATGCTATAGCTACAAGCAAACTAAAATACAGCTTCTGCTTTCAAGGAGCTTATAGTCTGGGGGGAGAAGTCAAGGCAAGCAACACAATAAATGCTTTATTAGACACATGTACACACTGAGACCCACCCTCCACCCCGGGTCCCAGTCACTAGGCTTCGCTCAACTCTGCGCACGTCCCGCCTTCTGTTTCCGACTCCCTCCTTACACGCCGGATCCTCAGGGCTGCCCCTGCCCCCACCCCCCGCTTCATGGAGTCTGGCTCTCACTGGGCCCTTAAGAAGTTCACTCAGAGGGTCTCCTTGACGCCCCCTTCGTCCACTCTCAGAGGAGTGACTAGATCAGGACACATAAAAGTCCCCGAGGGGTCCTGGGAGGAGAGTGGACGCCAGGAATGCTCTCCAGGTTATTTCCAGTGGTCAGTCAGGTTTGGGAACCACCGCTCTGGAGACTGTGTTGAGTCCCCACTCACAACACTCTATAATTTCTCTTTTATAAAGTTCACCTCTCACTTGTGATTAACACCTGTCTTTCGTGCTCAATAACATCTACTTCACTGAAGTCTCCTCAGAACTCAGCACACAGTAAACTCTCAAATATTAGCTGAAATGAACGTTAGTATCTGCCCCCAACAAAATGCTCTCCAAGGATCTGATTAAAAGCAGTGGTTTTCAAATTTATTTGATGAGATAAAATCCTTTGTTCAAAGAACAGTTTAAGGAGAACCTCAATATGTAAAACAGATAACAGCAGGCTAGCATGGAAGGACCTCTAAGCTATCTACCCCCTTCCACCTATTCTATCTAAGAGGCCCAGAGAAAAAGAATTGAAAACCCTTGGTTTAGAGCCATGTAAAAATATCATTAAGTTAATATTATCAGATATAAATAAAATCATGAAAGCTGTTATGAAGTTAATTGCTGTCAGCAATCAAAGATGCCAAGGAGACTGTTTTTTCTTTATTTCTCATCAGCTGGCTGCATAAGCTGAAGAGGTCAGATTTTATTCATTCTATCACCTTACCACATTTTCCTCTGCCTCTTCCTCACTCAGTTTATTAGGAGAGAAGAAAATAAACATCCAATGGATATTATGAGAGATGTATGGAAGGGTCGGAACTGCTGCAAGAAAGATTAAAGGAACAATCATTGGCTCAACAGAAACAAGAGGGAAAGAGGCAGAGCGCAACCTCTGAAAGAGCGACGTGGCCCAAGGCCCGTCAGCAACAGAAACCGATCAGAACCAAAGGGGTCCCAGATGCAGACAAGTGGACTTCCACTAGACCCCGAGCCTCAGCACATGTCTGCGCTCCTTCTAACGCTTCAGCAAGCTAAAGCACACACCAACAGGCGCCGTGGCAGTTCCAGGGCCGTCCCTCCGCCAAAAAGTGGGCGGGGCCAACTCCCCAAAGTCCCCGCCCCCTCCCCCAAAGCAGCTATTCCAGTCCTCCCACTCGCCAGCCTATGCAATTACCCAGCCCGTATTCCCAGGCACCTCTCCGCCTTCTGGGATGGCCTGCACTCTGTCTGTAGAGTCTGTTTCTCTCTAAATCCACTTCTTATCCATCACTTTGTCTCTCACCGAATTCTTGCTGCGATGAGACATCAAGAACCTGAGCTTCATTATGTGCTGAAGCCAGATGTGTGGTCCCACTTGGAGGACTCTGGGTTCTGGCTGAGTTCAAGCCCTGGCCAAGTGAGTTCAAGTCTTAATATGAGGTGCATGGTTTCACATGGCTTTATTAAACAAGTTGATTTTATTAGTTCATGGGCCAACATTAAGGACAATACCATGTGAGAGCCAAAGTACATGGTCAAACAGAAGGTAAAACTATTCTAGTGTTCTTATAATCTATTTTTCCTGAAACAACATATACTATGAACACTTTTGTGAAAAAGAACATGGACTCTGGAATTAGAGCTGCATTAAAATTGGCTCTGACATTTTGCAGCTCTAAATACTTGAAAAGTCTCCCAATCTTATTCTGCTGCAATGTTTATATCTGTCAAATGAAAGTCAGTAATTTCTTCACGTAATTCTCCTTTCCTTTTCACCCCCTGCCCCTTCCCCAGGTCAGACATGGACTGGGATTTAAGGTCCTTCGATGATTCTCTCTGGTTCAAATATAGGCCTTAAGCATATGAAGTTGGCAACATGGCATGGCTCGCTGCCCGCAAAAGAAATGTCACTGCTATGGGGTGGTCAGGACTCAAAGGGCTGCCTGGAGACCAGGGCTGGGGCACAGGGTGCTCCTGGAGACCAGGGCTGGGGCACAGGGTGCTCCTGGAGACCAGGTCTGGGGCACAGGATGCTCCTGGAGACCAGGGCTGGGGCACAGGGTGCTCCTGGAGACCAGGGCTGGGGCACAGGGTGCTCCTGGAGACCAGGGCTGGGGCACAGGGTGCTCCTGGAGACCAGGGCTGGGGCACAGGGTGCTCCTGGAGACCAGGGCTGGGGCACAGGGTGCTCCTGGAGACCAGGGCTGCGGCACAGGGTGCTCCTGGAGACCAGGGCTGGGGCACAGGGTGCTCCTGGAGACCAGGGCTGGGGCACAGGGTGCTCCTGGAGACCAGGGCTGGGGCACAGGGTGCTCCTGGAGACCAGGGCTGGGGCACAGGGTGCTCCTGGAGACCAGGGCTGGGGCACAGGGTGCTCCTGGAGACCAGGGCTGGGGCACAGGGTGCTCCTGGAGACCAGGGCTGGGGCACAGGGTGCTCCTGGAGACCAGGGCTGGGGCACAGGGTGCTCCTGGAGACCAGGGCTGGGGCACAGGGTGCTCCTGGAGACCAGGGCTGGGGCACAGGGTGCTCCTGGAGACCAGGGCTGGGGCACAGGGTGCTCCTGGAGACCAGGGCTGGGGCACAGGGTGCTCCTGGAGACCAGGGCTGGGGCACAGGGTGCTCCTGACCCTCCGTCTCTTGCTACCGCATGGCTAGTGAGGAAACTCTTCCCATTCCAGCTCCTCTCTTATCTCTTCGCAAGGTTGTAATGGAAGTCTCCCACCATGGTAAGATAAGCTGTAACAGGAAAGGAAACGAAGGTGGGGACCCCATGCATTCCTGCTTTCTTCTTTTCATGGAGGCCACATGATCACTCTGGATGCAATCTCTAGGTTCCCAGGGCCTCCCATTAGCATTCTTCACAGGCTCAGGTAATTCACTGGACTTTGGAGACAACGCTCCAGGAAAAGGGAATCATTTACTGGTCACTCTCATGCATCTATATTCTCTTGGAAAATAAATATCTTGATATCATCACCCTCCAAAGCATGGGTAAAATGCAGGAGACAGGCTTATCAAGGATGTGAAGCCAATGTTATGCTCCCCAAGAGCGTCTTCCTGCTCCCACAGTGAAGACACTTAAACAAATATTTAAGGACTGTTATTTCTGCCCAGGAAGATCTTGCAAAGGTAATATCTTTGACAAACACTTAAAGAATATCTGAGTTATGGAGATAGAAGAATGACCCAAACTGCTGCTTGTCTTCAGAAAGCTTGTAGAGAAAGACATGAAAACGGTTAAAATAGAAATACTGACCAAGGATGCACAATTATACAGACTACTTAGCATGCCTGGGTAAGCTGGACAAGGCGGAACCTTAAAGAAGCTTGAAGAATTAATAGGAATTTCACATGAATAAAATGGAAGGCATTCCAAGCAGAGGTTCCAACAGGGACCAAGGCATACAGGTAAGAGCTGCTCCATCTGGAGAATCACTCAGGCAAAACGGGTAGATGGTGAAAATGCAAAGGAGCATAAGCGTGGTAGGACATGAGGCTGGTGAGGAAGGCAAGGATCAAATCAGGTTCAGCCCTCCGTGTTTAGTTGCTCAGTCGTGTCCGACTTTCTGCGACCCCGTGGACTGCAGCCCGCCAGGCTCCTCTGTCCATGGGATCCTCCAGGCAAGAACACTGGAGTGGGCTGCCATGCCCTCCTCCAGGGGACCTTCCCGACCCGGGGATGGAACACATCTCCGGTGGCTCCTGCGCCGCAGGCAGATTCTTTACCGCTGCGGTACCAGGGAACCCATGGAGGGAGTGACTGCTACATTTCTGATGGAGGTAATGGGTGCCTTCCCACCAATTTCTCATGTGCCAGCCATCTGCTGAACAAGCAGATAGGGCCCTTCTGAAGAAATCTTGCCACAGGAAATTCTTTACACGTATGTCCCCTTACTTTGTACTCTGAGATCCTGATACTTAGACCAGAACAGACCCAAAAGAGAGCAGGGTGCCTGATCCAGAAGCAACTACTGACAGGGTAGTCAGAGGCTTATGAGGTGGCCTCACATAAGAGTTCTGCCCATTATCACAGGTCCATCCTAGAAAAACCATTAAAAATAATTTTTCCATCTATAAAATGAACAAATTTACTATCCATATGCTAACAAACTGGCCTAAGACGATATTTGTATCGTCTTAGCTTAATTGTCCCATCCATGCTGCTAAGACAATTCCATGTCAGAAAGAAAAAGGGTTATAGCTCTTACATTGTGCAGCGTTTTTAACCACTTCCTTTCATGCATTCATTACCTTAAAAAGTATTACAAGACAGAAAAAAACAAAGAAGACATTTTCACTATGCTTCCCGCACTTTCAGTAAGTTCCATATTTTGGCTAATTCACTTTTTCTATGAACACCAAAAGATCTGTAGAATTTTTTTAAAAAGTTTAAAAAAAAACTCTTTTTTAGAGCAGCAGCACCAGCTCTGAGGAAATGAAACCGAAAATTATACAGCTAGAAGCATGTCTGCCAAAGAGGGCTCAACCAGCACCTACCTTACAGTAGGTCCCACAGTGTAGAAACAGAACAAAAATTCTGAAGGATTTTAAAAGCTCATCACAATCTCAGGTACAATAACCTATCAGAATTCAGCAAAGTCCTCTGACAACCATCTCTTGGGCCCCACCAACACTCCACTCCAAACTGCACTGCTACTCATTTTCATTATTCTCTGGACATTCCACTAAGTACCTCAGCTGTCTCAAGGAACTCAGTACCGTGTGACCAAAAAGTCACCCCCCGTTTTACCCACATATTTTTATCAAAATCTAGCACAATTTTAACGTTCTAAACATTCCCCCATCTAATCTTAAAATGAAGCTTTTCTTTCCCTCTTTCTCTTTCATCTCCCCTTTCCTCCCCTGGCGTTCTTGGGAATGGGTTGAGGATAGCAGGGGTGGTGAATCCACTGAAACTGAATCCGATAAACCTATTTCTTGGAGTCCAAACCCTTCCGCGGATTTTTTTTTTTTTAAGTCTATGGCTCCCCCAAACGTTATGACTGATTCTGCAACACTTGGTTACCGAGAACGTTTCTTAGCCTGACAGCACTCAAGTTAACAAAGCTCTGTTCAGTCAGTATCCTCAGGCTTTCCTCAGTCTTGGTTATGTTGTTAAGTCACTAAAAAAATCCAAGATTCACAGTATCGACTCTCTCCATGAGCATGCTGATCTTGCGGATTCTTACTGAGAAGTTGCTTCTTCCGTAGGAAAAAAAAAAAAAGAACCAATAAAGGTTGGCCAAACCATCACTAAAATCCTTTATTAGGATTATTTAGACCTGAAGTGTGGAGTTTCTCCCTCTGAACAAATTTATCAAGGTTCACATCCAATACCACTTATAGAATCCAAAGGTTTGTTTCAAGCCTATCTTAATCTGAGAGCTGCTTACTTTTCGGGCTTCTTTGTTGTTTAGTCGCCAAGTCGTTTCTGACTCTGCACCCCAGGGACTGTAGCAAGCCAGGCTCCTCTGTCCACGGGATTCTCCAGGCAAGAACACTGGAGTGGGTTGCCATTTCCTCCTCCAGGGGATCTTCCCGACCAGAATCCAGCCCGCGTCTCCTGCACTGGCAGGCGGATTCTTTTATCGCTGGGCCATCAGGGAAGCCCTTTTCTTTATTATACACCAGAAAAGTATTTGAGGCTAGGATTGTTTGGCTGCTTCTGTGAATGAAGCAAGTCTATTAAATACAGGAAGAGAAGTTTCTATGCCTGAACAGAGACATACATACATCATACCAGTGTGAAAATCATGGCTCGACTAGTGTTCTTAGCTTTTTGGTTAACTGCTTTAGTCCAGAACATTTCCTTTATGTCTCTAATTCTATTTGCCCCAAAGACTGCAAACAGGACGTTGAAACGAAATCCTCAAATAAGAGTGAGTCAAACAGCTAATAAAAGTCCGGTGGCGGCGACGGAGAAGAGCTAACGACCGTGTTCCAGGCGCAGGTAGAGTAAGGGGGTGATCTCTATTACTCACGGCCATCACCATTACACCTGTTCCCGGGGATGAGCTGGTAACCCAGGTCTACGTGGCGAAAACGAGGGAAGGGCAGTCGGGGTGCGGCGGGGAGACCCCAGGTCTTGTGCCCGCCGGGCCGCCCGGCTCCGCGGCCTGCACCAGCCCGGCAGGCGGCGGGCTGGCGTAGAGCGCGGAACCGGGAGCGGAGCGGCGAGTGGCGGCCGACGCGAGGGGACCGCGGCGCGGGTCCCCGGGGCCCCGGGTCACTCCCCCATCGCGCCGGCCGCGCGGCTCCGGCCCCCGCCCACGGCCCCACTCACCCGGACTCTTCAGGTTGTAGCGGGTCTCCATGGCGGGTGGCTGGCTCGGCTCCAGCCTCCCGGCCCGCCGCTGCCGCCTCTGCGCGCCGCCGCCTCCCGCGTCTCCGCTCGGTTCGGGCCGACCGGGTCTGGCCGAGGCGCCTCCGCGGTGGCCGCCCCGCCCAGGCCGGGGCTGCGGGCGGGGCGGGGCGGGGGGCGCGGGCTCCGCGGTGGCGCCGCCTCCTCCGCTGCTCCTCCGCCACCCAGAGGGGCGGGCAGGCGCCGGCGCCGGCCGGGGTGTCGCCGAAGCCGGGGCTGGGCCGGAGGTCAGCCTCCTCGTCTGGCCGCGGGCCCCACGCCGCCGCGGCCGCCCGGCCTGCGTCACCCGCCCTCGCCCAGGTTTTGTGAAGTTGTCCTGACGTGGCAGTCGCTTCGTGGCGGGGGCGCGGCTCGGCCGCTGGTCCTTTCCGCCGGCCCCGCGACGCGCACTCCGGGATCTGCAGGAGCGGGCGGCGCTCAGGTCTTGCCCTTGCCGGCCCCACCCGGGATCCCCAGGCGCTCGCGGGACTCCCCGCGGAAGGGCGCGGCCGAAGCGACCCGGCCGTCCTCGCTGCGGGCGGATCGGGGCCCAGGTCCTCGAGACCGGTTCCGAGCCTCCCCGGCCCGGCGCCCGTGTGGACCGGCCACTGCCAACTGCTTTGTGTTCAGATCGGTAGCTGTTTGGGGTGGAAACAGTGAAGCAGGAAAGGCGAAATCCAGTGATAAGAGAATGAGAAGGGTTCTTACAACATTTTTCCCCCAGACAAATATGCTTAGGTGCAAGGCAGTTGGTTAAGCATTTGGGGAGATTTTTTAAAAAAGAATTGGGTTGGGAAGCATACATATATGAAAGGTATCCCCTCAAAGAGCACATTTCAGGCTTCATTGTAGAAACTGACGTCACGAAAAAGACTTAAAAAGGGACAAGGATTTAGGAAGGGACTGGGACGATGGAGTGGATGAAGAGGGAAGGTGAGAATTCTATGTGGAATGAAGAGGGTTAATCAGGTTGGACAAATTTTATTTTGTTACATAAAAATAGAAAACTTTCTTTTAACAATATGCTACCCCAAAATATCCCTCTTTGGCATAAGGATTATCTTGAGCTGAATATTTTTGAGAAAGAGCAGGCACAAGAGAATCTCTGAAAACAGAGTAGAATTTACCCTTTCCTGAGGGAAATTCGCGTTTTTTAAAACACATTTTTTTTGCTGTGCTGGGCTTAGTCGCTCAGCTGTGTCTTCTCACGGACCCATGGATTCTGCAACCCCATGGACTGTCGCCCGCCAGGCTCCTCTGTCCGTGGGGATTTCCCAGGCAAGAATACCGGAGAGAGTTGCCCTCCCCTCCTCCAGGGGATTCTTCCCAACCCAGGGGTCGAATCCAGGTCTTTCGCATTGAAAGGGGATTCTTTACGGCCTGAACCACCAGTGTCTGAGAAAGGCGACGAAATGGCAAGAGAATCCCAATGGAGGAGATGCTAACAAATCTTCGAAACAGCCTTTACCCCTGTTTAGGTGCTTTCCCTATGCCCTTTCATCGCTGGCCTCCTTCAGTCCCCCTACAGCTTTCTTCTGTCTTTAGCTGAAGATACTGTTAACCTTTGGTAGTGACTCAGGGAGTTATTCAGCTTGTTTTTCCTTTTGTTCATTTGTCTGTTGCAAGGGGTTTCAGCCAAGGACTCATAAGGGAAAAGTTGTACCTTTTCACTGGTAGTGACGTGGGTTATTTATACCCATTTGACAGATGAAGACAATTGAGGTCTCAGGGAACTCAAGCTTAAATTCTGTTTTCAACTACATTAAAAGTTCTTATCTGTGGCCCCCCAAAATATTGCCTGCCATTTCAGTAAACAGAGGATGTCTGCCTGCCATCAGCTGTTGCAATTGCCCGTTGAAGGTACGCCCTGAGGGGAATTCAGGATAAAGTAAAACCGGATACTGGCCCTAGAGAGTGGACAGAACAATTTCAGAGTCCAGACTCTTGCATCTTCTCATAGGTAGAAAAGCACTAAAATCATGAACTTGAGATACCTGTATTTTTGTGATTAACAGTAATCTTTTGTTGTTCAACTACATGTTTTTTACATTTTTTGTTTGGTTGGTTTTTTCCCAGCAAGAACTCCTGTATATTCTGGCTCCTCTCTTACCAATTTGGAACGACTCCTCAGAGATACCTGAGAGGCAGCATCCGAGGCTAAAGTCCTCAGTAAGGCCACCAAATAAAACAGAATTCTCAACATTTAGAATGTGCCTTTTTTTTCCAGTTGACATATCTTTCTGACATATTATTTTTTATCATATTGATATTGATAAAAGGAAATTTTCTAGGTTTTTATTAATTTCTTGATTTGAATACTTTGAAATCCAATTTACAGAGGTTCTTCAAGTTTCATTGACTTACATTCAAGGCTACTTATCTAGAAAGTGGAAGGACCCTGATTCAAGTCCAGGTCTTCTGACTCTGAAACTGGGATTGTTTTCTCTGCAATAAAAAGGAATCAGGCTGTCTTTCTTGTCTTATATTAATGTAAAGCCTTTCTTCCCTGCCATTTGAAAAGAGGAACATGCTTCTTAGAACCTCAGAGGTATCCTTGAACTGCTGTTGATTGCAAGTTCACGTGTTCGACACAGTGAGGTCAAACAAACCAAAACGCCCGAGTTTGGAGCAGAGAACAGTTCACTGCAAGGGCCAAGCTAAGAGAGTGAGTGACTCCTGCTCAAAAAAACATGAACTTCCAGATGATTTTCTGGGGAGTTCTAGGACTCCCAGGTGTGTGACTTTCTTCTGATTGGTTGATGGTGAGGTAACAGGGTGGTGCACCAGGAATCTTGTGCTCAGCCTGAAGTTACTCTGCTTATTTAACTTGTATGCAGAGTACATCATGAGAAATGCTGGGCTGGATGAAGCACAAGCTGGAATCAAGATTGCCGGGAGAAATATCCATAACCTCAGATATGCAGATGACACCACCCTTATGGCAGAAAGGGAAGAAGAACTAAAGAACTCTTGAGGAAAGTGAAGGAGGAGAGTGAAAAAGTTGGCTTAAAACTCAACATTCAGAAAACTAAGATCATGGCATGTGGTTCCATCACTTCATGGCAAATAGATGGGGAAACAGTGGAAAGAGTGAGAGGCTGTATTTTGGAGGGCTCCAAAATCACTGCAGATGGTGACTGCAGCCATGAAATCAAAAGACGCTTACTCCTTGGAAGAAAAGTTACGACCAATGTAAACAGCATATTAAAAAGCAGAGACATTACTTTGCCAACAAAGGTCCGTCTAGTCAAAGCTATGGTTTTTCCAGTAGTCACGTGTGGATGTGAGAAATGGACTATAAAGAAAGCTGAGCACCGAAGAAGTGATGCTTTTGAACTGTGGTGTGGGAGAAGACTCTTGAGAGTCCCTTGGACTGCAAGGAGATCCAACCAGTCCATCCTAAAGAAAATAAGTCCTGAGTAATCATTGGAAGGACTGATGCTGAAGCTGAAACTCCAATACTTTGGCCACCTGATGCAAAGAACTGACTCATGGGAGGAAGACCCTTATGCTGGGAAAGATTGAGGGCGGGAGGAGAAGGGGACGACAGAGGATGAGATGGTTGGATAGCATCACTGACTCAATGGACATGAGTTTGAGGAAACTCCAGGAGGTGGTGATGGGTAGGGAGGCCTAGCGTGCTGCAGTCCATGGGGTTCCGAAGAATTGGACACAACTGATCTAATTGAACTGACTAATTGAAGTTACCATCCTCCACCTGAGTGGGGCGCCTTAGTTCCTATAGAAAGACTAAAAGATATATTGTTTTATATATCTCCCTTGAGGAGGAACTAGAACTCTGATTTCTGGCTGCACTATTATTTCTTGAGTGTTTTTCCTTTGTTTCTGCATTCCATCACTTCCCGTGTTAGTAACTGTTTGAATCTGCCCTTAGAATTTTTTTCTTCTGACCATGCTGCTGGGCGTGCGGGATCTTATTTCCCAGATCAGGGATGGAACCTGAGCCCCCTGCAGTGGAAGCACACGGGTCCTAACCACTAGACCATCAGGGAATTCCCAAAATGTTTTTGTCCTGGTCATAAAAGTGATAACATGCCTGTTGTTTAATATTGAATATGAATAAAATACAACTCTCCTATAGTTCTTTTCAGAAGTGACCATGATTAACACTGTAGTGTAGTGACCTTTAGCCTTTGTTTAGGAAGCATAGGTATAACACAGTTGAAATTCTATTGTTTATTTTTTTATACTAAAAATATCTGTCATCAGCTAACTGGATTACTTGTTTTGTAAGCAGCAGCGCTATCATAACTTGTATAGTTAAAAAAGAAATGGCAGGCCCAAAATGGAGTCACTTGTGTTAAGCCCCCCATCAGCAAACCAATATTCAATACCCAACCTAATTGCAGTTACAACCTCCTCCAAGAATGCATTCTTAACTGGTCAGCCTGGAATTTTCTGGTCGGCACCAACACGGTAACCTTCCACATAGTTCCCTGCCATACCAATAGGTAGGTTTTCTAAAACTGTAACGATGCACCCATTCCCCAATTCTGCCTATTAAGGTTTCTTGGAACTCCTTTCTACTTGCTACATGGGTAGCAGCCCAATTCATGTATCATTCAATAAAGCCAATTAGATCTTTAAAATTTAACTTAGTTGAATTAACAGTTTGAACTGACAAATTTTATGTCAGTGTCTTCCTAGTATATAATGCAAATTGAAGAAATCTCAAAAAGCCATATATGAACTTTTTTATATTTTATTAATTACTTTGAATAGTTCATGAGGTTTTGATTTCTCATTTAAAAAAAAGAACCTGCCATAGATTTTCCAATTTTCTTCAAACCCCAGGATTTCCCCTTTGTGGTGGTTAACATGGTACTAACTTGCTGGCTGGTATTAATGTTAGGAGATGTTGGTCGTTATCAGGGGCACTCGTTTAAACTGTGGTTACCTGAGCAAAAATGTCAGCCGGAAAGGAGTTCTTTGTTGTTTTCATGCCTCACCTTA